TAGGGTTTAGGGTAATCCCCCTTAAGTAGATATTATTATAGGTGCGGATGAGGGAGGCAAAAAACCAAAGTTGACTGAGGACTTAGGGTTCAGCGTTGGGGTTCAGGGCTTAGGGTTCAGGATTTGCGGATAGGGTTTAGGGTTTGGGGTTCAGGGTTTAGGATTTCGAGCTTAGGGTCGGGGCGTGGTGCATGGTGTCGTATAACAGTAGGATTACATCAGGACGTTCGAAAGGGCTGCTCATGGACGCCACGGATATTCAAGAATGCTGAGACGTTCAGATGGGGAGTTACAGCGTGTGTGCGCTTTGGAACCTCCAACGTCGCTCAAATTGTGCTACGTGATTTTTTTGCTTGGGCAAGTTGCTCTCCACTAGGAACGATATTTGCGCTCGTTTCCAAAAATGTGCTCGTGGCAATGTTGCTGCGCCCCATTTCGGCCATAGTTGCGGTGCGCTTCTTGAGTTTGCTCTCGTTTGCATTTTTCAGTGCGAATTTGCGCTCGTGTTGTGCTGATTCTGAGCTCGTGCGCTACGCCATCTATATCAGGAATCGCATGTTTGGCAAAATAAAGGACGCCATCCCGGATGTACACTCGTTTCAGAATTGCGACCGATTTGTCGAAAAACGTATCGAAACCATGGTGGGGGGCACACATTTGTGCTACATTGGAGGTTGCAGGAAGGCATCGAAGGGCCATGTACATCTTATGTGGAAACTACCTGTTAAAAAGAAGCGTAGAGAAGGGGGAAAAAACCAAAGGCTGAAGGTTCTATATGTGGGCAGGACATTACAAAGAATCTGGAGTTAAAATATTGGTAAGTATTCAGTAATCAAGTCCCTACATGAGCTGTGGCTACTACAGGGCATGGGGCTCTACGATTTGGAGTTTATGGCCTCTTTAGAGCTTTAGAGCCACTTCAGTGGAGGGGGAAATCCTCAAGTTGCTCGTGTTGGCTGAGTTCTCGAAGAACTGACGACAACAATCCTTATGGAAAGCAACAACGCAGCACAAATCAGGGATTGTCGAGCAAAAGCAAGAGCGACTCCTACTCCTACGCCAACCCCTGCTACCACCAGATTCCATTTGATTTCCCGTGCTCTTTTCAACGTCTTCTCCATTATTCGGTCATTATCCGAAAGCCCTGTACATCCCTATACACCCCTATAACAGGCCCATGTGAATAGTGTTTTTTTGGTGGTTAAACCCAGTAAGATTATCTTCCTTATATAAAATACTATACCCCAAAAGGAGGATAGAATCTTACTCTATAATGGGCATCATCGTATCCCTAAGTAAAAATCTACTCATATCACCCTTCAGGCCTTTGAAAGTCAAGCTACCTTGAACCCCTTTTGTTCCCCAAACCCCAATGCACGGATGCCTGGAATCCACGCTCTTTCCCGGACAAGCTGAAGGCTGCACCCCCTAAACCCTGAAACCTACCCAAGCACCCGCGCCCTCACCCCAAGGTTCCCCCTTAGTTAGGCTTTTAGGGTTTAGGATCTAGGGTAGGTTTGGGGGCCCTACGACAATTCAATTTTGATTGCTTCATAAGGATTGTATGGGTATTACTGGTAATAGAAGTAGAAATATGTTCAAGCCTACCCCCACGGTGTGTTGGTAGAACCCATAAGCATTCTGAAGCTCAAATCCCAAACCTGCGGGAAAGGTGGCTTGTATATTTAGTTATCATACATACGCCATGTAAGCATTAATCTAACATCGGGCCGGAGTTGCCAAAGTTCCAACTCAAGCCATGTAATTTGAGTCGTGCTGTCTTGGTGGTTGATCTCTGCTTCGAAAGGAGCTCTCCGCTCAAGTCCAGTATGACTCTTCAACACACGACTCACTTGGGGTCGAAGGTCCAGATTAAGGTTTAAAGGCTTGAGGGCACCTGTGCAAACCCCGGCATTCAAAAACCCATAAACCACAGTTCCCCCCAGCATAAACCGTAAACCTGGACTCAAAAAACTCTGGGACTTCCTAGTGTTTCAAAGCATTATCAGCTCGCATGTCCAACGAAAAACACGATACAAAAACCAATGCCCGCTCAGTGAATACGCTGATAACAGGGACAACTGGAGTAATCACATGCCTTCTAGGGGTGCTTATTTTGTGAAGTCCCCTCAGCCCGAAGACACATTGACAATTGCTTGGGCTCCTCACAAACTTAGCACGCCAGAGAACCCTGCCAAAAAGGACAAACATTTTTTGGGAGAGAGGAATTACACTTGTGCAAACTAAGGTAGAACCCTAAACTCTGAACCACAACCGGCTGGGGTCCTTTTGCTCGGCTGCTGTTAGGGAACTTAACTAAGCTACCATATTAGGGGAGCCACATTAAGTGTTCTATATGTATACCCATTGTGGTAACTTGGTTTAATATCTCCAAGAGCAACCCTAAACCCTAAACCTTAAACCGAAACCCTAAACCCCAGTTTAGGGGTTACATGTTGTTTTCAGGAAGGCAGTGTGTAGGCCATGGCATCCCACCTACTCAAACATTATTCAGGCTTGAGGATAGGGGGTGTAGTATGGATTTTAAGGGGATCGGGATTAGGGTTTATGGGGTTGTGGATTTAGGATTTAATGTCTAGGGTTTCAGGGGATGTGGGATTGGGGTTTGAGGACAAAGGGTGTAGGGAAGGCTTATCCCAAGGTCCTGTAGATCTTCACTAAACCCTTAACCCTAAACCCTTATCCCAAGGTCCTACTAACCCTAAACCCTGAACCCTAAACCCTTATCCCAAGGTCCTACTAAGCCTAAACCCTAAACCCCAAACTCCCTATCCCAAGGTCCTACTAACCCTAAACCCTTAACCCTCTACCTAAGCCCCTTTTCCCAAGGTCCTATAGATCTTCAATCACGTGCACTTGTCTTAACCCTAAACCCTAAACCCCTAAAACCCTAAACCCTAAATCCTAAACCCTAAATCCTCAAACCCTAAATCCTAAACCAATGCCAAAGCACAGAGCCACACAGTCCGCGACCTTGGCGCCGATTCCAGGAAGGCTGCCTTAACTTTGCAAAATTAAGGGTTTTAGGGTTTTAGGGGTTTAGGGTTTAGGGGTTTAGGGTTTAGGGTTTTAGGGGTTAGGGTTTTAGGGTTTGGGGGTTTAGGGGTTAAGGGGTTTAGCAGTTTTAGGGTTTTAGGGTTTTAGGGTTTAGGGGTTTAGGGTTTAGGGTAACTTTGCACTTTCCGCGGCTGCCGCTAAGGGGCGTGTACTACGGGCATATAGGAAAATAATCGGATACATGCATGGCAGCGAGATGGATGCTTTGAGAGATGCGTCGCGTAAAGCCGTTGCAAGTTTCAAGTATACGGGTTATAGGGTTCAAGCTCAAACAAATATTGTGCCTATGAATTAGTAAGGGCATCATTTTCGGAATCTTCATCATTACGGATCATTATGTAGGCAACCTTCCATACGGTTTTCCACCCAAGTGCATGCAAGGGCTTAAACTCAACCTAACCCATTGAAGTAACATGATGTATGTAGACGAAGTGCAATATCATTCTACCTTTCAGCATGAGAAGTTGCCTCCAGCGCAATCCTAAAAGGAAGCTACGTTTTTCAGAGAACCTGCATTTCCTGCAAACCTGGATCCCACAGCACCACTACTTTCCGGAATACATTTTTTGAAAAAGGAGGGACAAGACCAAAGGGTTCTGTAGGGTCCAGGTACACCTGGCATGAGGAAACCATGCAATCCAAGCCACCCCCAACAATTTCATGTGCAGAGGCGCTAGTTGCCTCGGTCTTGCTGCTTCTTGCTCTGTACCTGACCTCTCTGTTTTTGCATTACGTGTGTCCCCAAAAAAAGGTTCTAGGGTTCAGGGGCCTTCTTCATTCTTCGCGTCTATTGGCCTCCGCAGGCTACAACGGTTCTTAAGACTTCTACATCCCTGAAGAGCCTAATTCGAGCCATCGTCTAGACTCCTAGCATGCCCCTTAGTAGCCCATATTGTAGTCCCCTTTATAACGCCCTGCATAACCACACTTTAAGGAGTTTAGACCATAGCTCATATGGTAGTTGTTCCAATTGCCCGTCCCCAAAATGACCATGAATGTAGGTTCCCTTTTTGGTTGGGATCTGCCTTTAAGGGAATGTATTCCCAATGGCCTCCTTTACAAGGACCTTGACCAACAACCCTCACATGTTTCCCAGCCAGCTTTCCAGTAACCAGGGGTCCCAACAGGCTATGACAGGAAGCAGTGAACCGACACCCTTAGCAAGGATCAGTTTTTTCGAATCTCCCAGACCCGATACTACTACTGTTGATAGGCAGGGCAGGAGCAAGACATTAACCTGACCATCAACCTTCTTCCTTGCTTGCTCCAGTTTTTCTTTTCGTCCTTTGCAATCTAAACCCTGAACGCGGAACCCTAAACCTTGAACCCTGAGCCCTAAACCCTGAACGCTAAATCCGGGACCCTGAACCCTAAACCCTGAACCCTAAACCCTGGACCCTGAACCCTAAACCCTGGACCCTGAACCCTACACCCTGAACCCTAAACCTTGAACCCTGAACCCTGTACACTAAACCCTGAACCCCCCACACCATTGTCAAGAAGCAGAGTTCACGCCTGATAGCGAGCCGGTGCTCTCGTTCTGTCTCGGTCCTCAAAAACTCATAGGCTAACCTTACTTACTGGTGGTTACAGTAGTAGGTAAGAAGGGAATACCTATAGGGTTTAAGGTAAGAAGGGAATACCTATAGGGTTTGAAGTTTAGGGTTAGTAGGGAAAAAGGGAATACACTTCCTATATAATGCGATTCCTTTTCCCGTACTAATCGCCAGCAGGTCTAAGGCTAAGCGCTTATGGGGGAATTGTTTGCTTAAGAGTGCTAGATTTATATACACAGTTCAGGTGTTAAGGGTTCAGGACTGAAACCTTTTTCATTTTTGTTGCGGTGGGGGTTGAGGGTTTTAGGGTTCAGGGCCTGGGGTAAAGAAGCCCGCCAAGCTTTATGGAGCTTCTTCTGGGGTCCGCCTCTGCAGGCAAAAGGGGATCAGAACAGGATACCTGGGTTCAGCACATCCCCAAAGCTTAAGGCCTCTGGCCCGCAAGAAAGACCCAAGGATGCAATCTGTGTGAGGGTCTTAGGATTGAGAATTACTGGTGTGCTACTTGCAGCTTCATGTGTAATTGTGTGTACCCCAAAGCAGGCTACGATTCGAAGTTCATGTCTAGAAATCTGCGCCGCAAAGCAGGATAACTACTCAAAAAGCTACCCGTACTCTGATTCAGAGAGCTTGTACCTACTTACCACTCTCTATGAGCCTCCAAGTAGCTAAGTAGCGATAATCATCCTACTTACGAGCTCGCACACCCCCACCTGAAACCCTTCACCCCCTACCCTACCCTACCCTACCCAACCCTACCCATGAACCTGCATGTTGGATCATTTGCGTCGTGATTTAGGGCTCTATTGGTCCTAAACCCTAAACCCTCAAGCCCGTATAAACTTACCATTGCTTAGCCCCCCCCAAAAATGTTAACTCCAAAATTTCTGAAGAAAAATCTGCACCCAAAACCCTGCGTAATGGTCATAAACACTAAACCTGATACATCCATAAAAGGCATATACCCCTAACTGACTTGGCTCTCCGCCAAGGAGCTCCTCGGGCAAGGTGGCATTCTCCACGGCTTTGGGCGGGTTGGTCCTCCGGCGTGCGCTTTGGTTTAGGCTTTGGGCTTCGGCTTGAAATGTAACGTCGGGGTTTGGGATGTGGGGTTTAGAGTTTGGGTTTCGGAATTTTTTGGCTTGAATTGTTGGTTTGGGGTTTGAGGCTTTAGAGTTCAGGATTTAGGGGCTTTGCAGAGGGCTTGAATTTGGATTGTGATTCTCGAAGCTAAGTTCCTCTTGTCCAGACGGTGCCTCCCGCTACATACTAGATTGCCCTCAAAATCTTGCAAGTTCTAAGTGCTGAAATGAACCAGAAAAACTTGTAAACAGTCAACCCCCAACCCTATAGGACTCCAAACAGCTCCTTGCAGGGTCTTTAATATTGGGGCCCAAGGTAAGTACTATATATTTATACATGTAGAGCCCCAAGCAAACCTAATACCCCAAAACTCTGAGCGTTGAACCCTTAACATTCATCTCGAAACCCTGAATCCTATGGGGTTTACGGTTTAAGGGTTTAGGGTTGAACCCTAGACCCAAACATCCTGAAACCCTAAAAGCCGTCAGCCTCATACCGGAGAGCCAGCGCAGAAGGCGACCATCCTCTTGCAATCTCCGAGGTTAGTTCTGGGCATTTGGAGATTCAAGTCTATGGCTTAGGGTTTAGCGATGAATGCTTAGGGTTTAAGGTTCAGGGCCTATAGGCTTTGGGCATTTTTTAGGGTTTAAGGTTCAGGGTCTGCAGGGTTTAGGGATGAATGTTTTAGGTCGACAAGGCTTAGGTTTCGGGTTTAGGGATGAATGTTTACGGTTTAAATCCTAAACCCAAAGCCCCTAAACCCCTAAACCTGTATAAAAACTACATGTTTATGGTCTATGGGGTTTACGGACGAACGCTTAGAGTTGTAGGTTTGGGGCATGTGGTTTCCGGAAGGCGGCCCCGGGCCAAAGGTTCAGGGTTTGGGGTTTAGGGTCTAGTGTGGTTTAGGGTTTACAGTAGGGTCTAGGGTTTATGGTTTCGGGTTTGGGGTCTAGCGTTTAGGGCCTGGCGTTCAGACTTGCAAGTCTGGTTTCAATGGTCTGGGTTCAGGTTCTTCTTGGCAAGTCTCTTGGAAGCTTCCATGTAAAGATCCAGAGTCGAGGTGATCCCTAAGGGTCCACAGACCCAAATATTAGGGTTCTAGGTCCTGAATAGTTTTCAGCTTTTAGCATTTGGGCCCTAAAGCCCATTATTTGAGTCCTTGCACCCGAAACTTTGGGTCTAGAAAAACCTTCTGGGACGCCAGACTTAAGGTTCAGGTGTCACAGTCTGCCGCTTCGGATTTTAAGTAGAAACCTCTCTGTATTTGGAGCCCCATGGGACAAAGTAACTACGTATAACTGGGCTTATAACCCTACTTAAGTATAATCCCCCTAAATGGGCTTATAGGGGTTACCCCAATCATAAGTAGGGTTCTAATCCCAGTTATAAGTCGTTACTAAGTCCCATGGGAGTCCAAGGAAGATTCGCACATATCCCAAGAAGCCTTCATCCCACGCCGGCTGTAAAGAAAGAACAGAAGACTGGACTTCATGATGTGCTGTGCGGGGGAGCAATATCTACATATATGCATATATATACATATATTTACATATATATATATATGTATATATATATATTACATATATATATATACATAAGCAAAATTGTTCTGAAGGCTGATTGGGGCTCGGATTAGCAACTCAAGATTTTGCTCACGACTCGGGGTCTGGTACCGCCGCAGTCCAGCTTAAAAACAAAGCCCAAACTTCGCAGAGTCCGTTGAGCCATGGTCGAAACTCCTAGCATGCCCCTTCATAACCCACAGCTTTGGAGTTTAGGGTCTCTGCCAGTGCCGTCTATAATCTGTTATACAACCCCCTTTCAGGAGTGTAGAGTAGGGCTCATATGAGTAGATTTTTTTGGTGGTTGAACCCAGTAAGATTATATCCCTTATATAAAATGCTATACCCCAAAAGGAGGATAGAATCTTACTCTATATTGGGTACCATAGTATCCCCAAACAGAATATTACATCCCCAATATAAACCCTGTACGTACAACCCCAGTTTCCATTTCATTGTCCATTTTCTTTTTCATTTGATTCTCCATTATTGGGTACCATAGTATCCCCAAATAAAATACCTAAACCCTAAACCCTAAACCACCCTAAACCCTAAACCTACTACTCATATGAGGATCCTCCGGAATAACCAGACACTTTGACTCTCGGTGCCTCTTGCATCAGCCGCTTGGCCGCTTGGCTTATGTAGGCCTCAGCGCTTTAGGGTTTAGGGCTTATAGGGGTTTAGGGTTTAGGGTTAAAGGCTTTAGCCAGATATTCGAGGAGGTTCGCTCAACTTACCCTAAGGGTCTAAGGACCCAAATAATAAGGTTTTAGGCCCCAAATCCATAATATCAATGGTATTTGGCTCCTAAAACCCTGTTATTTGGGTCCTTGCACCCTTAGGGTTATAGTCGGTTAACAGCCTTGTGCATGATGTCCAACAATCGTACCGTATACCTTCATGCTGTCTTAGGGAGGCGGTATATCCGGTTGCGCAGGTTTCTGTCTGTGGGGCACTAGGAAGGTGGGTTGCTGCGGGGTCGTGGGGCAATCATTTCCATAAGGGTCAAGACTGAGTAATGAAATCTCGTACAACTCCTGTGATCACATGATAACCTATGAGTTGTAAGCGGGAGGATGACAACCCCCCCGGTAAAAACACGGTTTAGAGGTTTAGGGTTACACATGCCCACACAACTATTCACTCTACCCATATCATGTTGCGGCCTATTTGAGGCAATCTGTACCATAACGCACCATAAGTATACAAGGCATCATTCCATAACCCCCAGCGCATGACCCCCACAGCCCCCTTACACACCCAGCTTCATGTTCCATATGTTTTCTTTTTTTTCCTCCCTTGTACCTGGATATACCCGTCTGCTATCCCACTATAATCCCTTCCCCTTTATATCAAGCCCCTTACTGATATTGGATACGGTTTCCCCAGACTTCCAAATTCTGACATCTGCCTTGAACAATATTTTGAAGAAGGACAAGACTAAAGCTGATTGCGGCTCGGGTCCTCTGAGTTATGAGGCTCCTTAGCATGACTCTTAAGGATTAGGCCATCAGGGATCTCCTTGATTTCCCATGTTGTGACTGTTTTTGAATGAACTGATGAAGAATTGTATTTGAAAATGGAATGCAATTTCAGTTGGGTTTATTGCGATCTTAAAGCCGTTTCAAATTCGGTTCTAAGTAGATTCTAATAAGATTTCACTTGAAGTTAGATTTTAAGTCGATTTTCATTGGGTTCATTACGTTTTTAGATTGAAATGTCATTGGCTTTGAATGCTTTAATTATGCAGACTCTGAAGAAATTTCAACTGCTTTGAATTTGGTTTTCAATTATATTCTGCCGAATTTATGTCGATTCGGCTTAGATTTCATCGGCTTTCGGTTGAATCTAGTTTGATTCGGCTTATAGATTTCAACAGGATCCTGTAGATACCCTAACAATGTTCGGGTCGTACGAGAAATGCCCTCTACTAGTAAGTATGGGTCGGAGTATAGGGTGAGAGGGGAGGAGGCCCTTTAATATTCGGGGGAAGGATTAGTTCAAGGGTTCAGTATACATAAAAAGGTTTCGTGGTACCTGCAGAATACACACGGTCTAGGGTTTAGGATTAATTATGGGAAAAGTTCCTACGTGGATACGTCGGGGCCCAAGTATACACACTACATAGGTACCTGGATGCTTTGGGCTAGGGTTGGGTAGTTTAAGGAGTTCCAAGTTTGCGTGGCATCTGCGTGGAACGATGTTGCAAATAGCAACCGGGCTGCGTGTCAGGAGCAGCTAGCCTTAAAAGACGTAAACCCAAACAACCAACCCTCAAACCACCAGACAGCAAGCTAAATACCCAAACTCAACAACCTTCAAAAGCTCAGGGTCGGTGACAAACAAACTATAATACCATTAATATTAGAGTATTTGGGCCCAAAACCCTATTATTTGGGTCCTTGGACCCTTAGGGAAATTAAAACCAAACACATAAATCCCAAACCCCGTGACCGACAATCTCTGCGCTTCCTTGATCTAAAGTTGACGTATGGGCCTTCAATGGGCCGTTGGCGGATTCAAGGGTACCTTCAGGGTAGAGGCGAACGTTACTGCGGATATTACAGCTCTTGCGCGACCTTGGTATACACAACTACCAGAACTCCACAAGCTTAAAGTGGTTTAGGGCTTAGGGTTTAGGGTTGAGGCTCATCCAGGAAATTTGAATATGTCAACGGTAGTACTACAGGCCCATACTCAGGGCCAATGGTTTGAATCTTGCCCAAACAATAAACCCCAAACCCTACACCCTAAACCCTACGCCCTGAACCCTAAACTCCAAGCCCGAAAACCCTCAACCCCAATTCCATCCCATAGTTTGGACCCCTATATAGCTATTTATATATACACCTTATTAAAAATATACCATATATTACTGTAGCTTCCATTTTATAATCCCTATATAACCCCAATATATAACCCCTAAACCCTAAACCCTAAACCGTTTCACTCTCTTTTCCAAGACCTTTCACTTAAGGCTTGGGCCGCTCGGTATCCGAGACCGAGATCCTTGAGAGATCGCTCCTCAGCCAGCCGGTCCAGGGACACAGCTTGCACGCGGTTAAGGGTTTAGGGTTTAGGATTTAGGACATTTAAGGGATTTAGGGTTTATAAGCTTTAGAACTTAGGGTTGAGGGTTTAGAGCTTAGGGGTTAGAACTCGTTGTTTAGGGTTTAAGTTGTAATGTGTAGGTTTACGATATACTTCTTTTGGTCCACCTAAATTCCTATAGAACTGCTTTGGCTACTGAGTATCTACTACATAGTTGCCTGGACCCTTTGAGCAAGCTTTCGAAGGGTGCTATAGAGTTCACTCAGCCAACCTTGCGTGGTTTGGCGTAAGTCTATCAGGCAGCCCTCAAACACAGGGACCAGCAACCACATCCTATAAGAACTGCTTGAAGTCTTTAAAGGTAACCCAGAAACCTTCATCCGAAAAGTCTTGATGTCTTTAGCTCGGATTCAACGAAGTGCCTCAGAATCCAAAGGAAAAAAATGAACCCGACAATAGGGTACTTGAGATCCAGCTGAACATGTGTGTGGCTTTTGTGAAACACATGCGCCTTGGGTAGTTGGCAGAGGCTCCGGTACGGGTAGCCCACAAAATAATCCCTAAAACAACCTTGAACATCCATGTTAGGGCCCCCATCACCCCGTTGTCATCACCATAGAACCCTGGGCTCCCCAGGGTGTGAAACTCACAGGATTATCACTAATGGGTTGAAAAAGCAGCTTCTACCCTTGCAGGCCGGGGTGCTGTAGCCTTGGCGAGCACGCTGCTCCTTTCGTCGAAGGGCAAAGCCATGAGCACAGAAATGTTCGGGGTTTAGGGTAATTAGCGTCTGGGGTTTAGGATGCTGGGTTAGGTGTTTGGGTGTTTGGGGTTAAAGCACTTAAGGTCTGGTAATGGCTGGTATTTATGGTTTTACGTCTCTGGCTTGAAGTTTAGAGTTTATGGTAGTCTTGGGGTCTTGAGTAGTTGAAGCTATGAGCGTTGCTGTAGTAGGGTCGCAGGGCTTAGGAAATAGGATCCCTCAGGGTTATGTTAGGATGGTGGAAAAGACAATGAAAACTACTATTACATTGGGGTTATATACGGGATGTATTGGGATAATGGAAAATAAAATGGAAACTACCATTTAAGCTTTAGGGTTTCGGGTGCGAGAAGTGGACTACACCTCACCTCAGCGCATGTTGAAACTATCACGTTGATCGCACCTTGGTGCCAGAGAAGCCGACCAAGTTAAAAGTCTCCAAATGACTTCGAGTATCCCCCTTCCTAAGGCCTATAATACTCCCAAATACAATCCCTACATAATTACCCCCCTTTTAGGAGTTTAGGCTATAGCTCAAATGGTTTAAGCACAATACCAAGGTGGAATACATTTGGGAGCATCAGGGACTTCTATGCAGGTAGCTTTGGTCCAGGTACATTCCATGTAGGTCCTTGGATCCTGTGTGGGGGTAGGCGTAGGTTCTTTTCTCGTAGCTTGGAACCAACATGACCCTAAACCCTAAGGACGAAGACAGCAACTAAGTGAGAGGCAGCTTGGTCCCACGCTCATCGGCCGATACTTGGTGGTTGGCCCTACCGCTTGGCCTTTCCCTTCTCGTGGCATCATTGTCCATCTCATGTGCTGCTGATGGAGGAAGTCGTGCAGTCGTGCAGCACCTTAAGTCCTGATATTAAAATTACTTGATGGACTCTACCCTACACCCTAGGTGGCGCAAGATTCCCTCCATCAGCAATACATCTGCAGCAGGTACAAGACAAAAAGATCCTTGTGCCCTTGCCAATGTGAGCTACAATCTACACTCCTGGTATCCCCCGTAATAACCCCTATTTTACTCCCCTACATAATCCCCTAACCCATAAACCCTAAACCCCAAACCCTATATACTCTAAGCCCCCCTTGAAGGAGTTTAGACTATGGATTACAGCTCTGAGGTTTAGGGCTAAGGGAGGGCCTGCACAAACTGCTGAAGAGGGACATAATCTATCCACCTCAAGGCCTACATACCTCTGAAACCTTGATCCCTTATAATATACCCCTAGACCCCAACAACTTCCCCCCAGTACGTTTCAGGGCAAGCAACCTTCGCAAGGCTTGAATAACTTCCCTATTGTGGACCTCCCCCCAACATAGCTTTAGACTCTCCCCGTTAATTATTGCTGTCCGTGTAGAAATAAAACACAAAAGCATTCCAACATGCGCACAGTATCTTCAGCAGGGTCCACAAGAACAAGCCTCAAAAGAACCCGTTAAATATATGTCTGACCTTAAATCGCCCTGAACCATGAGCCGCATGCTCCAACAGCTGAGACCGAGGCCTTGAGCATTAAACCGAAAGCTGTAGGACCCCGAAGCCTAAAACTGAACCCTAAACCCTTTGCCCTGAAGCTAAACCAGCATGTGCCTGGACCCCCCCAAAGTCAACAAAACAGTGTCCCGAAACCCCGGAAAAATCCTGCAAAGAATTAAACAAATCCTCTACATACTTTTGGGCTTCAGGTAACCCTAAATCCTGATCCCTGCTCAAACCCTAACCCCTAAATCCTAAACCCTAAACACTTAACCTTAAACTTAAACCCTTAACCCTAAACCCTCTGGTCCCTAACAACACCCGCCTCGGCCATGCATGGAGCGTTCTCCGGGCAGAAAACCTTAGTTGTTGGATCAGACTTCCGGGGTCCCTTTGGGTTTAGGGTCTAGGGCTTAGGGGGCTGAACCCTACACCTTACACACCTAAACCCTGAATGTTTAAGGCTTCCAGAAACCCTTCCTTCTTTGGGCTGGGATATGACCTGAAGAACGTACAAATCTTTTTGGGTTTGTGGTTCAGGGTTCACAATTCAGGTTTCGGGCTTTAGGCTCAGAATTGGACCCTACAATACTATACCCGTTAAGATTGGAAATCAGTAGGGAATGAGGGAATAAGATTGCCAGCGCCGTAGTACACGCCAAGCTCAACAATCCTTATAAGCACGAGTAATACAGGTGCCGAAATGGCCAACCAGTGAGCTCTGAGATCTCTTTAGGGTTTAGGATTTAGGGTTTAGGATTGAGGCTTCTTGTAAAAGGTTTGAAAGAGAAGTTCCATTGGCAAGCGTGCAGGCTTCTACATCATGATCACGAATCAATACTCTTGAAACGCTTTGTGTAGATGTCTTCTCTTTCCCCGAGCATTCAATACTACCACGGCCATCGTTTTCCATGTTTGTGTGCTGACCCCTGCTCTTGTGGGCCTTGTTATTCCCCAATGCCCATGCAGCACAAACCCTGACACTGGATTTCATCATAGGAAACCTGACAGATGACCAATACTATCTGTTTGTAATGAACCCCCTCATAATCGCACAATAACATCCCGCATATTTTTTTGCGGACCTAAACCCTTGAACCCTTTAAATCCCAAGCCCTGAACTCTAAACAACACACAGGTGTTGATGGAAGAAATCTTGCAGCACTTCAAGTTGCTATTGTCCCACAACAATACTTACGAGAGTTTTGGGGCGCTAAGTCGCGTCAGATTCCGTCTATGAACAGTATCAGGCCCAATAGCCCTAAACCCTAAGCCCTAAAACCTTCAGCCCTAAGCGACCAAAACTGCACAGTGAACCCGACGCACTGTAAACCCTAAACCGTAAACCCATGCAAGCCCTACTTCTCCAACTACCCAAATAGGGACATCTCGAGACTGGGAGGCCGTTAAGGATCCTAGGGGGAAGGAAGGATTGCGCGGGGATTCTGGGGGTCCCCCTAATTAATGAAGGGGAAATATAAGGGCTCTTTAGGGATAATGGAAAAGAAAATGGAAACTACTATTTAGGGTTTAGGTTCAGGGTTTAGAGACCTATGATAAAAAAAAAACCCACTCTGTTACCTTAATATCAGGATCCCTATTATAAGCTCTATTAAGGGGAGGGGGTGTATTAATCACGGGTCATTTAGAACCTGCAGTTCGCGTGAGACAGGTTCACGCTTTGCCTTGAACGCCGGGCGACGCAGGGGCGCCACGCCTTCAGCGAACCATGCACCAAAGCCACCAGGCTGGCGTACGATCGCTGACGCTATGCTTCGCAAGCACATAGGCGTGCAGCTTGGCCAATTTCTGTCGACGTGGATCGGGTTGCAACCTGCCTGGCATCCTGCCAGTCCACACCAGCGACAGCAGCTTGTGATTTTTCCTTTGCTCTTGTCGCTGTTCTGGTCTTTGTTGTTCTTGCTCTTGTTATTAATCTTCTGCTTGTTGTTCATATTGTTCCAGCATGTGCTGTTCCTGTTGCCGTTTTCTTGCAAGTGTTCTTGTTGTTGTTGTTGTTGCTGCTGCTGCTGTTGTTGTTGTGTTGGCTTGACTGCGCTCAGGAAAGGCTGGAGGGGCACCTGCAGGAAGCCAAGAATGGCTTGACCCATGCTTCGGCCCTGTTCCTCTGGAACGTCCTGGCAGTTGGCTCAGGGCGAGGTTCATCTCGAGTTCCGTTGCACAGCCCCGCGTGGCGATCCGGCTCAGGAGAGCCTTGGGCAGTCCAAGGTTCCTGAGCCGGTCGCGGGGCCGGCGCTCCGCTCTCCCGGCCAGGACGAACCTTAACACGCGAAGATCACAATTGTACTGTTGCCCTTGACCCCTCCGCCTAAACCCCGGCTTAGCTGCTGACACGCACGGAGGGCCCGATGCTACTCTGCGCCTGGGAACCTGCAGGGTCTTGATGTTCTTCTTGGCCTTCCTGCCAAGAGGGGGACTCGGCTCTGTTGCTTTCCGCTCACCGACCTGTGAGCCAAAGCTGCCATAATGCGCAGGTAGGCCTTGTCACCTGGGACTGCATTTGCTCAATCTGCGCAGTGCCATTCAAGTGGGAGGACGGTGGGAGGGAGTGAGGGAGGGAGTGGGAGGGAGTGGGAGGGAGTGGGAGTGGGAGGGAGTGGGAGGGAGTGGGAGGGAGTGGGAGGGGAGCGCGTCTGAAAAGAAAGCTTTCGCAAAGGACCCGGTCCAATCAGGCTCCCGAAGTCTTGAAAATCGCGCACACCCTGGGTCCGTAACCTCTTGGATTGCCTTGGCGAGGGGGAGGGCGGACTCCTCCAGACCAAGAATGCAGAGTGCAGTTCACGTTGCAAAATTTAGCGGCTTGCACAATCATGGAGGCTCTTATACTGGCATTACTTGAGATGCTTTCGAGAAACTCCCCAATTAGGTACCAACAACCATTTCCATGACGATGCTTGGGCACTGAAACCACAACATTATTTGTGTACTTGTACCCTGAGGCCCTGAAATCCGAACCCCTAAATCCTAAACCTTAATTCCTAAGCCCTAAGCTGAAATCATTGCAAAACCAGGTGCTCGCGCACATGCTGGAGAGCGCAGTCTGGGCAGAAGGGGGCTTTGATATAGGATGAAATCTTGGCGCGGACTTAGCATCCAGGGGTTGGGGGAGGGGGTGAGGGTTTGCATGTAGACTCTGGACGTCTAGAGCTAGGCGAAGGGTTTTGGAGTGAAATGGTTGTTTTCATACGGCTTTCAGGGCTTTGGGTGTTTTGAGACCCTGCATCACCCTACAGTATAAGGCGATTTCCGGACTTGGCGAACATTGCATGCAACAATTGGTCTGGTTTGTGTTCTTGTGTTGTTCTGGACTGTGATTTTGTACGGACCAGGGCTTTATGCGAGGCTGATGGCAGGTTTTGTAGGCATCTATAATGGTGGAGGGTTTTGGTTTTGTTTGGGTTTGAGGTCCAAGAAATTGTAGAATTCCTGCCCCTAGACCCATCATGGAACACTGTATAAAGGCATATGCAAAGCCGAGAAAGATGTGTAGGGACCGCTAAAGATTACAGCAACTGTCAATCCCTGCATCCTAAGTAACCCTCGCTCCTTACCAGTTCCCCATCTACATACGATTACAATATTGAGACCGTTTACCTCCCGGGTTTGGTCCCTGAATCTCCAAATCCTAGCCCTTGACCGTAATTCCTTGCCTATCCCTCTAAACCCTAGCCCTAAGCCCTAAACCTCCTACACCCTGAACTCCAAACTCCTAATGTGCTAGCCTCCAAACGCCTAAACCCCAAGCAAGCAACACCCTATACGAGTCCTGAGCTGTATAAACCCTATACTTAACTACAACACGCCCCAAAAAAACTATAAACACTATAAGACCTATAAACCGAAAAATAAGCCCTATAGACACTAAAAACCCTATGAGCCCTATAAGCCCTATAAACCGCAAAAGCCTTAAAACACCTCAAATCTATGAACCCTATAAACACTCTAAACACTAGATACCCCATGACCCCGAAAGCCCTAAACCTTAAACCCACAATGCCTATACCTCCTATAAACCCTATAAAACCTATGAACCCTGCAAAACCCTATAACCCTATAAACCCTAAACCCCTGAACCCTAAACCCTAAACTCCTGAACCCTAAACTCATGGCTTAGGCCGCCCACCTACGAGGGTGTGCGGCGCCTATGCCCCCTTCGACATTGCGCAAGCCGACATACCTGGGCCTGCCTCAGCGCAGCCACGGATACAGTAGCATCCACGATAGGCCCGGTACCGGACCCCGTTCAGCCTTATAAGGTGGTTACCCTAAACCCCAAGTCCCTGTTTCAAATGCCCAAGCACCCTTCCTGGACCAGGGTTTCCCTGGAGGGCCAGGAGGCCGAGAGCCTGGAGGGGAGCGGCTCAGTTTTCTCAACCACCCAAAAACACGGTCAAGCCTTTCAAAGGCCTCAGGGTCCGTTTTAGAGTGGCCTCCCAGAGACCTCTCCTAAAAGAACCCCAAGCCTCCCAAGAGCATTTCAGAGGCCCAGCCTCCCTCACAAGACCTCCTTCCGCCTTTCTTGACAGAGTCAGGCCTCAGGACAAAAAAGCCTCTGCAGTTTCCCCAAGGCTTTTCCTCAAACCTTCGGAAACCAGAAGCTTGGCTATGGAAATGTGTGGTGTTGTTGACTAAAATGGACCTAACTAAGTTTAGGTCCTAAACCCTCATAAGAATAGGTTTGGGTGGATTGGCCGCCTGGGACGCCGTCGGGTGGGTGAACGTGTTAGATGGCCTTCTACAATCAGGCCAAAGCAGCATGTCACATGGCACGACATGCTCGAAGCGACTCTGTGGCATGACTATCTCTGCTTCAACGCTACATCACGGCAAACCCTAAACCCTTAACCCTAGACCTCAGACCCTAAACCCTAAACCCTCAATGCCTATACTGAGTAAGGTGCCTTGGTGCGCAGACGATCCTGGAGGTGGCTGCAAACGGCATACCACCTCAGGATTCAAGAAGTTAGGGTTCAGGGTTTGGGGTTTAGGGTTTAGGGTCTAGAGTTTATGGTTCAGGGTTTAGGGTTTAGGGTTTAGGGTTCAGGGTTAAGGGTTTTGGGTCTAGGGTTTAGGGTCCAGGGCTTGGGGTTTAGGGTTAGGGTTTAAGGGTGGTACCTTGCCCTTTTACTACGGGTTCCCCTGCTTCCCACCTGTCTCCCCCACCCATCCGCCCTATACTATGCGCCTAGGTTCCCCTGAGTTGGGGTCATTCTACATAGGGGGTCTTGGGCAGCGCTTGGTAGGGGAACCCATGGTTTTTCAGGAAGCCTGAATCCCCAACCACACCATGACACTAAGGGCAGGAAATGTAGGTCTTCCTTTCCACGTTCACTGAGCACGCCGCTTCATCCAAGTAACTCACAGGACCCTACAAGGATTAGATTCGAACACTATCCGGGTTCTAAACCCCAAGCCTAAGTTTTCAGAATTGGATTTAGGGTTTGGGGCTTAAGGCGGCACAAGGCTCTGTACATCTTAATGCCTTGGCCACAAATAAATGGAACCAACATGCGGGCCCGCACACTACAAATCCCTACAGTAGCCCAAGGGGATGTACAAACTTAGATCCTAATAGTCTTAGTTTGATTTTCGGCATTGTGTCTATGTGCATAGGAAAACAAGGACCAGCATCCACAAGAAGCACCAATCTGCATAGCCTTGAACATTGCAATGCATCCTGCGCCCTACACCCGGAACTCCACACCCTGCACCAACACAACTTGAACCGACACGCTAAAGCCAGATCGCTACACCAACCCTTAACGCCTTGAACATTGCAATGCATCCTGCGCCCTACACCCGGAACTCCACACCCTGCACCAACACAACTTGAACCGACACGCTAAAGCCAGATCGCTACACCAACCCTTAACCCCCGCGCCTAAGCCCTAATCTCCGAAACCCTTTACCACCAAATCCTAAAAGGCCCTAAAACCCTGTACCCTTACCTGAACCCCAGAGAAGTATCTAGAACATTAGGCGTTTGGACCGTTTAAGGAAATTTGGGCCATTGTTGTACCGACTGTATGGGAGCCACGGTACCAAGAACCTCCTTGTAGCCTGAATTGGGCTATATGGCCCCCAATAACTGGGTTGCTGTTAAG